CACCGGGTCCGGGACTCGAACCACGGCCGACTACATGGGAGTCCAGCGACATAGCCATTATGCTAACTGCTGGTCCCCCCAATAAATAATTCTTTAAAAAAAAAAAAAAAAAGGCTAGCATTTTCCAAGTAGTGCCTGGCTGTGAATTCAGTGTTTGTCTCTTATGTGCTCATTCAAGCTGATCCTACAAAATAAATACTGCTATTATCTCTACTTTACGGGAGGGAAAACTCAGCACACAGAGGTTACAGGGCAGCCTAATTCGGGAAGCCAAAGTCATACTCTGCCCTCCTCCAGTAACCACCATGAAGGGAGTGGGATTGGATCATCTAGGTCTCTTTTCAGCCCTGAAATCCCAGGATTCTAATGATATACATGTCCTCCCCCAAGGAAGCAGCTCTCACTTTACAGGCAGGCAGAGGCCCAGACAACCACCAGCTCACACAGCAGAGCAGAGGGTACGTTGGGACCACTGTAGCTTTGGGAAGTGAGAGCTGGGTCCTCAGCTGAGACTCCAGAGCCATCCCCTGGGTGGGCCTGTGAGCCTCACGGACAGGTGCCCAGGCAGCCCAGCCCTGGCAACTGTCCAGATGCCTCCGGGGAGAGGGAGGGAGAGGTTCTACCCTCTAATTAGTCAGGAGGAGGGGACATCTCCATGGCGTTCCCACCTGCTGCTGCTCTTTCAGCTTCCCACACACGCTGGGCCTGCCAGGCTGAGAGGAGGCCCAGGCACAGAGGCTGAGCTCTGCAGAGCCCCTGCCCATCACAGCCCACCTGGTGCTTCTCTCAGTGGCCACAGCTCACCCCACTGGAATGCTCAGGGACTGAAGAGCCTGTGGATGACTGTCCTAGGGCCTGGGTATGCCACACCCTGAGAGGGCAGGGGTACCTTGGGCTGCTGCCCATCCCCACCTTTATGTCCCAGAACCAAGTCAGTCACTGCACCATGGCCTTGGCCAATCTGAGGTCAGCATGTACCGCCCGACATCTTCCAACCCCCACAAAGAACCCTTGGGCTTGAGAAATGCACCCCCTCTGCCAGGTCATGGGATCCCTGAGGGTGGTGCCCTGTCCCCTCTATCAGATCTGAGGCTCCAATAGTTGAGGGCCATCACAATGCCTCTTCTCCCACTCAGGGTCACTGAAGGCAAGAGCATGCCTCTTCTTCAGATTAGCAGCCCCTTGAGGGCAGAGTTCAAGAAGAGGAGTCTGTGTTCCACCCAGCCAGGGCACCCTGAAGGGCCTGTGCCTCCCCCTTCAGGCTACACTGGATCCTAAAATCCATCTCCTTTCACTCTGAGCTCCCTCCAGGGCCAGCAGGTTCCATGCAGACGAGCAGGCGGCAGGCGAACTGACCTTGGCTTTGGGATACCCCCTGGGTGTAGGTCTTGAGTGTGTACTGGCGCCCACAGGCCTCCTCCTCCTCCATGACGCCCTTGCTGCAGACGGAGGGCACACAGGTGTTGGCGCCCGAGTGGATGCCGGAGTCGTAGGTGTAGG